GCTCTCCACTGCAAACACAGCAGCATACAAAGTTGTCCTTCATTTGAATTTGAATTTTTTTAACAGAGCTTAATATTAAAATTGTTTTGAAGAATGGAAAAATATATACATTTGACACCATAAAACAAGCCAAACCTAGGGAAAGATTCAGGATTCATGGCATGAACTCAAAGACTAAGGAATAGGTTTAAAATTGGCAGTTATATTTGAAACACTACCAGTGTTACTAACTTAAACACTCAAAAATTAGACTCGATATAAATTAGCTTGTCATGTGAAATTCTAGAGAATACATATTTTGGAAAACCAAACAGAAGAACCCAAAGAAGAATAAAAGAAATGAACATGATACCCTTAAAATGGATTTTAGAAATCTATCTCATCTTCAACTACACAAGAGGTCCACAGCTGAAGCACAAAGTATAAGTCCTAAACAATACATATTTAGAAATAACCACCATCAGAATTAGTGAAGGTACTACTGAGTAAATATGGTTAGGATGAAAGTCAAAGAAAGTATTAAGCAGAGATAAAACTGAGTTAGCTCCATTACAATGAGTGATTCTCCTTCTGGCAACCATGTACAGCATTTGAAAAACAGAAAGAGTGTGTACCCCACAATAATAAGTACTTGCATTCCTACCACCCATACATGAACCCACAATGAAATTATACCACAAATTCTTCCCTCAAGTGCTCACTTAAGTCTCTCTATAATCTCCAAAAAGATCTGAACAGAGATTTCTTCTACATGATTTTTTCAATATGGTTTCAAAAAAACACACTACTAATTTTAGGATGTATCACACTGAAGGGCAGAAATGGTACAAATGAGAGTTGAACTGAACTGGGGCCCAAAATAACATTTCTACAAGCAAATGGATTGTTTCCTTCCAACCAGCCATTTCCCATCTTCCTCCTCAAAAGTATATTTTAAGACAGCCTAAATATGGTTGATGGAAAAGATAGAATAGTTACACTTAGAAGCTCTATGAGTTACTATTTTTTTTAATTGAAACCATGATCATGAACCATCTACAAACCAGACAACTCTTGTTGCCTTCTTCTCTTACACTTTCCTGGAAAGCAATTATTGCCAAGGGATAAACTGCCAACCCTGGTGGTTAGTCAAAGATAAAGAAAGCAGGTCCTTGAAAATAAAGTGATAGAACAGTAAGCATCCAAGGAAAACAGAAATCAATAAACCTGTGAAGTGCAATTTGTTATTTGACATATACAAAAAATACTACTGTAGATTTTTTCCCTAAAATGCTACCCAGCCAGTTCCTAAATGTAATACATATACTTCTAAGGTATATAGAAGAAAAAAAATATTTTCGCTAATAACTCCAAGACATGGTGGTACAATACCAAAATATCACTTTAAGAATAAAAATTTCATCTGTTGAATTTTTAAAAGTCCAACAATTAGTTGTCTAAGAAACTGGAGAGGTATTAGAAAGTAGAACAGATGTATCACATATATGGATGGTAGAATCAAATACATTCCTACTTATATTTAAGTGGGAAAATCTACTCAAATATAAATCTCTCTCACACACCAAATATATTAGGCTCAGGTTCATCATCTGTTTCACAGTATGTGTTGGTTGCAATGGGAATTAGTATTTTAAAAACAAAGGTTGAGCATTATTACGGCAGTCTGCATGATGCTTCTGTTTTCTGATGTGCTTACTTTATGTGTTTTTGTCTAGGGTTTTTAAAACAGTGTTAAGTTGAACCTTCCTTGTTATCTCTAAGTTTTCACAACTTTTAAGATCACAGAATTCTACATTTACAAGAGCAGCTTATTTGTTGTTCTTCATAGGGAGCAACCAGAGTATTTGTGGTTAGATTCAAGAAAACATTTGCAACCATAGGCTCAAAGAAAGAGAAGAGAGAGGGATTAACTCTGCTGAAGGAAGGTCACAAACATAATTTAAAGTGAACCAAGAAGAGCAGCTGCGTCTTTCAGCCCAATCAACTTGGCCAGCTGGAGAATTTGCCAGCAGTATGAAAACAATGCACACCAGATGTCCAATGAAAGATCTGCAAGTAAGAAAATAAAAGATCTCTGGGCATAACCCTGAGCTATTAGTCTTTTTAGCATCAAGGTCCCACAGGGCACCATCAAGCCAGATACAATGCAAGTATAACACAAACTTTAGGGATTGTTTTACTTCAAATCTAATATTTAACTTAGCTATCTGCCAATGAAATAATAATGCTCTTCTCAGCATATAAAACTCCTAAGACACGTTGAAATCTATAATGTTTTTAATATAGGTGTACAACATTAAATACTGAAAGAAATCATAATGGGGAAGTGCAATGCAAGTGAAATGCAAACTTTGTTTTCTGAGTTTATGAGAAATAATTTAAAAATAATCCTAAGCTATTAAAGTGGCAGGTTCCTGCATGAGAAGCACTTATATTGTAGTGTACAACAAATATAACGAACAAACAAGGCAACTACAGAAGGCTAAATGGAACAATCAGGGAATGAAATGCTTCTAGCTTTCAGCTTTACTAATTTAAACAAGAGCTTGCAAGTACACAAATACAAAATTGTACCTTAGGCATGGCTACAATCTGATGTTGCTGAACTACATCTTTCAGCATCCTCAATATTAGTTATGCTGAGACTGCTGGGAGCTGTGGGTTAGCAACATCTGGAGGCCACATATTGTGCCCCTGTGTTCTAAGGAACCTGCCCACAATTGGCCTGCTTAATGGGCCATTCAGTGGACAGGTTTGTTTTTTCTTAGCTATGCTGAAAGCAAATCTAATTTTCTCTCCACCAATCCACTGTTTCGTCCAGCTCATTAAAACTTCATGACCTCAATTTTACCTCAGTTATGCATCTACTTTTGATAGCATTTCCTCCCTCTCCTGCAAAGCACAGTTTGTGGTCAAAGTTCTGGAGTAGTTTGAACTTGAGCAAGTAGCAACAAGCAAAAAAAAAAAAGTTTTCTGCAGAATCCCTTTAGTGTAACCTTTTTAGCTATTCATTTTCCATTTGTTTATTCTAGCTATTTCAATTATGCTATCGAAAACAGGCCAGTTCAAACATCACGGTTTGGCAACTTGGAGCATTCTGTGGGTACAACCGCGAAAGAGAGGAGAAACAGCATGAGCCACTTGGCATCTTACAGACATAAACCATAGTTTGGCCCTACACAAGAGTTGATATGGCCGTGGGAAGCCACATGACAAATTAAACAATGGAATTAACTTTTCTTCAGCTACTTTATTTTTATTTCAGTGTATGAATAACTTAAAACCAGCCTGTTGAATAAGGTAATGAATTCATTTTTAAGTGATCATCAGTTTTCACAAGTTAGGGTTTTTGTGGCTTACCTTAGCTTTGCCATCCTGTGCTGACATATATCCCACACACATGCTTTCTGTTGTATGACTCCACAGGAACTCTACTATGAGAAGAAAAAAAAAGTTTATTTACTTACTAAAGTATCATGTCTGTTTTTCACAATAAATTGCTGATTAATAAGAAGCAAGAGCCTTTTATTCTTTGAAATAAAACTGAATGGTTGTTTGAAAAATATATGTTTCAATTTCAGCATCAAATTTACTAGGGAGAGGAATATATAAACTGGCCTATCAGCTGAAAAAAAAAAGCAAGTTCCATGTGCCCGTGCTTGAATGCTAGAAACACCAAAGCTACTGTTGCTTCCCTGTGCCATGCAAGGCAATTTTTAGAGTGAGGAAATGTTTTTGCTGTCTGCATTAGCAGCTGTGGGGGGCCAAGCCCTTTTTTGCTGGGAGAAAAAGATGATCTCATGGCTCCTTTTTGTTTTATGAGAAGTGGCTCAAAATCATCATGCTGCCCCTCCTTCTATTTCTTCCTCTATAAAGAAAGAGGGAATGACTTTTGTCCTAGAAAAGTGGCTGAAAATTACCAGACTGCCACAGCCAACTTCATCATTGTGGGTGGGTGGGTGGAGGTTACATGTATATCTAAGATGGATGTGGTATTTGTGAATGTACGAATCTGAGTCCATGTGTGAGCATGGTAGAGATGTATATGTGTGTTCATCTATGTAGATATAAGTGTTATGTTGCCCCTTCTGAAGACGGATGCATCTTCAGAGATAAATCCATTCTCACTGATGATAAACAAATGCCACTAAATTACAAGCTAGCAATATGCAATCCCCTCCAGAAGGCCACACTGATATTCAACAGGTTATTCTACACTTCCCACTTAGTATTCTGTTCTCCACCTCCCCTTTTATACTTCTTTCAGAAACCTTGATGTAATTAAAATGTAGTAAAATTTCTTCAGAAAAGAAATTAATAGGCTATCAATTGGTAAGCATTTTAATTCTTACTGTTTTTCTTTGGTTTTTCAAGTCATAAAGGTATAACCTAATTATTATATTTAATAATAACTGGTTAACGTATTCATTCAAAGCTTACTTTACGTACTTACCTAATAGAGACTGTTTATCCTGTGAAGAATTAGGCTCTGCAGAACACCTACAAGAGCGGAGAACTATCACTCCTCCCAGAACACCATCCTCATTGGCTAAAAAAGGTGAACCTATGGAGAAATGGGAGGCAAGGAGAGAGAGAATCATGGAAAATTAATAAGCATGTAAGTCTTATAAGACTGTTATTTCTTTTTTAAATGGATGCTGGCTGCCCCCCATGACTGCATAATAGACAAGAAATATAACCACCTGCCTTATTCCAAAGATACGAAGCAGATACTATCAGGTTACTATCACTGTAGTTAGGTGGCATCAAAAAAGTGAGCTTTTCCTGCCAAGAAGTACTAAAGGATGATATATCACGTACACATTTAACTGAAGAATTTCTACCACTTCCAAACATTATTTTCTTCAGGGAAAGGTAATAACTACCCTACCACAAAAAGGACAATTTATCTGAAGTTAAACAACAGGCCATAATGTACTGGGACTACAAAGTCAGCTTCTGAACAGCCACTGCTGTTTTTAACACTGTGCCTCTTATGCTGAGAAATCCCTTCGAAACACTGGAAAATGAGCAAAACACAACTGTCTAACAAATGCTCCTTTCAAATTCGAAACATACTTTTAAAAGGTGCTACACCAGAAGCTGTAATTAATTTTAAATTAGCCAAATAAAACTTATGCATACCATTTTTTATTTTTGGTGCAGCTTCAAATTAATGTCATACATTTTAAAATGTGGAAAGTATTTTATGGTTTAAATACAACCTAAACATCTTAAGCCACAAGATTAAATGCAAATGTAACAAGTCAGTTAAGGCCAAAGAGTCTTTGATCACACATTTGTTAAATGTTTATTGCCAACATATCAAGCAACAATAGTGGAAGACAATAGTTTATTTTGTGTGTGTGTGTGTGTGTGCATACATATATTCTTTTAAAAAGTGTAGACCAAAATTTTTTTTTATCCTAAATGCACTTTATACAAAGACAGCTCAAAGCAGGGAATGCTGCTGTCACGCACATTGTATCAACAAAACTCAAACAACCTTAAACTCTTTATAACTCTATGAAAATAAGTAATGATTATAATGTCCATTTCACAGACTATTACACAACAGAAGACATGTTTCTATCATTCCACAAATCGATTGTCAACACACAGAATCCTGACAAATAAATATTTACATAATTTATTATGGTCAATCACAAAAATAAGTGTTATGTGTGGAGGGAAGGGTGGAACGTTAAAAATGTATTGACAACAACCTTAAAATATCTAAAGCCCTATTAAATTCAAGTAAGAGGACTTCCACTGATTTTAATGACACTTTTAAAATACAACAACCTTCAGCTGCATCAACTAATTTCACCTGCAATGGATTGGACTGAAAGATGCTCTTCCACTCACAGAATAGGGTTTTGTTTTGTTTTTTACTTCAGAAAACTTCAAAAATGAAATTATTGCTAAACTAACCATAAATTTTGCCATTTAATAGTCACAGTTTTAAGGCAATATATTTTAAGGCAATATATTTTCTATACTGTCTAGAATTCATCTTGTGTTGATATATTTTTTTCTTTAGTTTGTTTTCCTCCTTATGCTTACTTAAAATCACTGCAATGTATGTCTTTTTTTTTTTTTTACTGTACTATCACTGATGTATTTTTTCTTTGTTAGACAAACAAAACAGTCTGCTATATGTTGATAGTTATTTAAAACAATAGGAGAAGGATATACTCAACATTTGACATTTCATCTCATGCTGTTGAGCAAGGAAATATTTCATCGTTTTACAACAACAGAGTGTGTATTAAGAGACAGTGAAAAGGCTATCAGGAAGCCATGGCGGAACATCAGGGAGCAAGAACCAAAACAACAGTGATGCTCTATGGGGCTTAGTGAAATCCAGCAGTACTTCAAAAGTATTTTGTTAACCTCATTTTTCAAATACACTCAGTTTCTAGTAGAAGCAACATTCAGACGTTTCAAAAGTTGTAAGATTATTTCAGCTACATTTGCAAGAAGTCTATAAGTTTCAGAACAACTAGGTTTACTCAAAGGTTTGCTTACGCAATACTTTCTCCACTATTTGTACTTAACTAGCTTATAAACGGAGTGCAATAAGCTGTAACTCAGATTTTTGTTAAAAGAAAAGTTATCCAATGTTGTTTTCTTTCTGCTGCTCTGAAGAAATACATATACAGGTAGCCTGGTTATGACGGTAATTGAGACTGGAATTTCCATTGCTAAGCGATGCAGTTGTAAAGTGCGACATCACGTGACTGCATCGCTTAGCAACAAAAATCCTGGCAATCCTCATTACCATCATTAACTGAATCCCACCAGTTGTTAGACAACGACCCACCCCAATCCAAGCCATTCCCAACTTGGTCCCTCCCAGCCCTGAGCCTTCTTCCTGAGGCTGCACGTGCCCTTCTCCAAATTCTGCACTGCCTTCTCACGATGCTTCAGAAGGCCCAAGAATCATTGCAAGAAGGTAGTGTGCAATTTGGAGAAGAGTGGATGATTTGGAGAGGGGTGGGCACTGACTTCTTGTGAGCTTTCAGAAGGCCTCAGAAGCATTGCGAGAAGGAAGCGCATTATTTGGAAAAGCACATGCATTATTTGGAGAATGGGCACGTGCAGCCAGCACCTCCCTCACATAGGACTGGACCAGGCCAGGCACACCTCATCAGCAGCAGGAGGAAGAAGACAGTGAAGGTCAGCTGGGGGTGGCAGGACCTGTGGAGCACAGGGCAGCGGTGGCAGCTGGGGCTTGCACTGTGGTGCTGGGGTGGCTGGGCACAGCACTTCTTGGTGGCAGTGGTAGTGCTGGGGCTGAAGTAAAGACCTGGGGGGGGAGAGACAGCTGAAATAGAGGCTGCCAGCACTGCCACTGCAGAGTGCTGTGGGGGGAGTTGAAGCCCCCCTGTGGTCCTAAATGTGGGCAGGCTGCAAAGCGCCCAAATTTTGATCATGTGACCACTGGGGCACTGCAAAGGCCATACCTTTGGGGACTGGGTGTAAATACCATTTGTTCAGCACCGCCGTAACTTTGAATGGTTGTTGAGCAAATGGTTGTTAAATGAGGACAACCTGTAATCAATTTTAGAAACAGACGCTGAACTATTTTTGAAAATAAGTTCCCTTTTTTCCCCCTGAACAATAGGAATGCGATAGATGTAGGCTCTGGTCTAAAGAGGAGTAAAGCTTATTAAAGCTTAAAGTACTTATTATGGAAGTAAAGCTATTAAACTTATTTCTGTCTTATTTCTGAGCAATGTATGGATTGCACTATAAACCATCACACTGATGAAAAGATAGCACACAAAAGATTGCCATGATAATATTGGAAAGGATATTTAGTATTTAAATAAGTAAATACACAATATTTGATAGCCAGTTTGGTGTAGTGGTTAAGGCACCAGGCTAGAACCTGGGAAACTGTGAAGTTTAGTTCTGCCAAGAAAGCTGCAGCCACCAGGAGTCAACAGTGACTCAAAAGCTCAATATATATAATTATATAAAAAAATGTTGTCTACCTCTGAACTGTACAGTACTTCATTTTTATCAAAGGTTCTAGGCATATGGAAATCTACTAGCAAGGAACATGAAGCATGAATATTTTTTCATCTTGTGGACGGTCCACACTTTAATTCATATGCAAAGAGTTGATCAGAAATGTGTTTTTGCAAAACAGTGCGTGCATTATTAAAGAAAAATAGCTGAGGTTTTTAAAAGTTTGAAAATACTTTACATATAGTTCTAAAGAACTATGCACATTTCAATTGTTAGGCTCCCAAATCAGCCTGCAAACAGAATAAACATTTACTGCGAAGCCTGCATTCCACAAACTTGGCTGAATTTGAAAGGAATAGATGAGGTATAAAATCCTCTGTTCTGTCTGAAAGATACTTATGTTTACAGAAAACTATTTTTATTCTACATCAGTGTATATTCCATCTTTTATCTTTATTAAACCAAAGGTACCTACACAAAAACAGTGTAATTCATGTATTCCGCTTCTAATCCAACCATTACTTAAATCAAACGTCCTGTTAGTTATAAAAATAAGATGAGGAAAACACAGCTGCTACTAGGGTGGTCCTTCCTGCACTTTTTAATAAAATTCTGAATATCCAGTCAGGTATTCCCAAGTAAGAAGGAATATTTATATTCCTCTCTGGGAAGTTTTATTTTGTGATAAGAAATTGATAAGAAAGTAAGACTCTGATGATAAAGAGAACAAGCCACAATGTTACAAGCAGGCTATTAACCTATTTTATTCATGGTTATTTCTCAGAGATGTAAAAAAATCTACATCATAAATTACAATTCAAGCAACTATTGCATCAGTAAAAAAAATCAATAGCAGGATAGTTAAAAACAAAACAAAAACTAACTATTCAGTATGTGCCCAGCATTTTTCCATTTCCCCTTAGGTGTACTTTTGCAAAATGTTACTGGTGTTGATTTTGAGATATGACAGCTCTTAACAAACCCCATGTGGAAGATGCAGGCTTCTTTGGATCAGATGGCAAGTCTCTAAACACATTAATACTGAATGATGCTATGCTTAAAATAATCTTTTTTAGCATTTCAGTTAAAACAATGTTTACCACCTCAACAATTCAGCATACTAGAAAGGCACTCTTGTACCTATATAGCTTGAATTATCTTTCAAGTACTTTTGTTAAAAACATACTAATATTTTGTAATTAGGATAGAGAACAGCTATTTGATAGACAGACAGACAGATAGAATTTATCAGATAATCTTCAAGTTAATGACTATTATGATAATAGATAAAGCAGAGATTACAGGAGAGAATTGATATTTAATAGATTTCTTGAAACAAAAAAAGGGAAACCAAAACCACATTTAAAAAGTACAGTGGGGCAAAAAAGTATTTAGTCTGCTGGATTTAAAAAAAATCCAGAAAATCACATTGTCTGATTTTTAAAGAATTT